TTACGCCCGTGCCACGTGGTCCGCAGCCATTTTACGCCCGTGCCACGTAGTCTGCGGCCATTATTCCGCCTGTGCCACGTGGTCTGCGGCCGTTTTTCTGCCCTGCCGCATGGTCCTGTGGCCGTTTTTCTGCACTGCCGCGTGGTCAGCGGCCGTTTTTCCGCCCCTGACGCGTGGTCCACGGACGCAGGAATGGATTAATGGTAATTACATTGAACCTTATGGGAAAATTTCCTTCGGGTTGCGACCAAATCGGGTTGCGACCAGAGTCACAGAACAGATTAAGATCGTAACCTGAGGTACCACTGTATGCACAAGTATGTGCCTAATGTGATTCAAAGCCTTCAGACATTGTTCAATTTAGGGGTTTTTACAAGTCACAAAATAAAAACTCCAGCAACTAACCATTCTAAATTGCCAATTAAATCTCCAAAATAGCTACCTAGCATTTTCTCATATCCCATGAAACCATTCATACCTCAGCCAGAAATCTCTGGATGACTATCTTGTTTGGTCAAAGAAAATATGAATTGGGAAAATCAATCCTAGCTAACTGGATAGATGTTTAACATCTTCCTAGATATAAGCTGCCAGGCATCTACAAGCAGAAAAGGAAGGTACAATTACAAAATGAATATGTTACTGTTTTCCCTCAAAAAATTAATTTTGAAAGAAGCCTCCCCAAAAGGCCATACAGTAGAATGAAGTCAATGTAAGTGGTACACATGTATAATTTGTCAATCAAAACTATCCTATGCATGAGGTCAGCTGTTACTTGTTTTAAAGGGAGATACTGTAAAAACCAACTGCAGAAACTGGGATAAACAGATGTCAAAATATGTCTATTGAAGCCCAACTACAAACAATTTTGTGAAAGCACACATTAACAAATGTCTATGTTTTTAGACACCAAAAGCTAATTAACATAATAGCTAAGATCTATTCAGCATAACTTTTAACTCACTGATTAATCCTGCTTATTTGACATTATGCTTATGCAACTTTTATATAGCAATAAGATGAACAGATATATGACCAGAGCCTTTAATGAAAACACTGTATTTGGAGGTCAAAAATATTGTGTGATTTCAAGCACAATTGGCTTGGACCAAGTTTTGATTTATTCCAAAAGAAGGCAGACCCTGTGAGTAGATGAGTTCTATTCTTTAGACCAAAATATTCATGCATTAAAATTAATGGTAGACTTTCCAATGATTTCACTAACCTGGAGAATCCGCATGTCCATATCAATTCATACTGTAGAATTCATTTATTTTAAATATTAAAAAGGTCAATATTCATGCTATAAATTATATAAAAATGAAAACCAATACATATTTTTGTGATTATGTAATATCTATTATCATTAATGCTTATTTAGATAACAATTATCTAGTTAACAATTATCTAGTTCTAAACAATTAGTAAAAATTTTTAAAATAAATTGTTCATAAATGGTAATTTAGGGACATAAATTATTGCATTACCCATTCAAGAGAATCTCAATTTAGCAGACCCCAATACAAATGACTTGGTATTCCATTTTCATGGTGATATCATTATTTATTTGGTAAATATATATAGCCACCCATCTCACATATGTGACTCTGAGTGGCATATAAAGTTAAAAACACAAAAACGATACAACAAACTAACAAAAATAAATAAAATCATTAAAAACATTAAAAATAAAAACTATTAAAAACCATTAAAACAATATAATCTGTGTCACAGTCACTCAATTTCCCTAGTGACACATCCCTTTTGCAGGCTCCATACCCACATTACTGGATCACCAGGCCAGATGGCAAAGCCATGTCTTCAGGACCTTCTAGAAGGCCAACAAGATGGGAGCCAATCTGACCTCAGGGGGAATGTAATTCCAAAGGATGGGTGCCACCTCAAAAAAGGCTCTCCTCCTGGGTCCCATCAGATTAAATTCCTTTGTGGACTGGACCCGTAACATGCCCTTCCTGCCAGACCTGATGGGATGGGGAGATGTGATTAGGGACAGGCAGTCCCTCAAATAACCCACTCCCATGCCATGTATGGCTTTATAAGTCATTATCAGCACCATGAATTGAACCTGGAAGCAAACTGGTAACCAGTGTAGTTCACAGAGGTGATCTAGGTGTGCACATAACTGCCTGCACACTGTATTTTGCACCAGCTGAAGCTTCTGGATGCTTAAATAAAATTAAGCTATCCCATTCTAGCCTCTGGATACAGAGCTGATTTTCATTCTGGAGGCATGGAGACAGTAAGAGGATGGGATGGGATTCAACTTTCTTCCATTCCATATGCAGTGGCTTTGGTCTCATTTGAGCAACCATGAATTTTCATTTTCTACCATAGAGGAAGTGGTGGACATTTTGCCATCATAAAGAAGATGTGATACCAGCAAACCACAGTTCGTCATGGCCTGCTGTGTTATCTAGCATGGCATTCATGAATAACTCCAAAACAGGCATAACTTGTATATATGTTGTAGGTTTATAGCCTCTTTATAATCCTCCTGCCCACTGAATTATCTTGTTTTTTCTTCCCTTTATGAATTAGGCCTCACAACTGTAGGTGTCTGTGGCATACAGAAATTGACCCCTGAAGGCTCAGAGTAACAAGCAATTACTGGTGATCTCACTGAAGCTGACAGAATGAGGAGTACTGTGAAGTTGTGATGTAGATATGTGTGCTGGAAATATATCTCATTGTCAAAGTCCACTGTTTCTTTCTAGATATGGGTGGCATTAGGGCATAATTATAAGCACAATTTCTGATTAGTGGAGAAAAATAATACACCTAGTATATTCTGAATATCTCTACATTTTCACAACACCTTTGGATTTTTGTGAGAGCACAGTATTCAGAGCAATCTCTTCTATTCCATAATTCCCGTATATCAGTGCACATGATTGCTCTGTAAAAAAATTCTTAATCTGTTACATTTTTCCAGACAAGTTGTTATAATTTTGGAATTATTGTGTATATTTTCATCACAGTATGATGAACGTATGTCCACTGTAAAGTTTGGATTGCACTATTTTCCTTGGGACACAATACAATTTTGTATATGTATTCTCAGAAATAAGTGCCACTGAATTCCATAAGACTTACTTAAGATAAATATAGAATTGCAACTTGCAAAATAGGGTTTCCAGATTTAAAGTACTATCTCGAATAAAACTTCAAACTGTTGATGAAGAAAAATACACTCTACAAACACTCCTTGATATTTAGCACATTTTTAATGACAGAATATTTGATATTAAACCAAAACATGTTCTTCCTCATACTAGGTGGGAGAAACCTAAAAAGAACAACAAAAAGAGTCTTCCAGACATTTACCATATTGTAAAAAGAACTGCTAGAGTCCTAAAGAGTCTCTGAGGACTAATATCAAGCTTCAGATTAAACAATTAGTGAATATTCTAAACAGTCATACAAAAACTGTTCCACTGTTCTGTTAGCACTAGCCATATGGTTTAATATTGGAAGGAATGGGGATAACTTTTGTGAAGCAATTAACATCAGATGTTTTGATTGTATATGACATATGATCTTCTGGAGAAAAAATAACACTTTTATTTTTTTATTATTTCAAGTATATCTGCAGGCAACTGATGTGCCAAATACAGGTAACATAAAATATCATCCATTAGATGCTCACTATATAATCATCTTTCTAACTGAAAATATACTGGATAAACAAGTTTCTTGGAAGGAACCAAACAAGCCCCCAAAAGGTCACTATTTCCCAGCAACTGATTTCTGAGAAACAGGTAAGTTTGTCTAATTACTAGATAAAGCTGCAACAATGAATGCTTATTGCTATATACTTTTAAATCATACTTATAAATACATAGGTCAAGACATAACATCAGGCCTCAATCTGTATATGTAACACTAGGAGAAAGTAGATCAATAATCCTATGAAATCAGAGAAAGCTTTTTAAAAACCTACTTTAGAACTTTTGCATTTTGCAGGCACAGAAATTAAACCCGTGAAAGACTCTGGAGTTCGTAAATTGTGCAACTCTCTGCTAGAACGATAAGAAAGGTTGAAGCCTTTTTCTAAATAAACAAACTAAATGAAGCATATAACAGAACATATAACTGTACTGCTTGTTAAGACGAGAGAGTTTCAGAATCTGAATACTTTCAAGAGCAAAACAGGG